TTAAAAAAAAGAAAAATAGAACTCACAGTCCAAAAATTTTCAGCTTTAAGTTTATAAGTCATCCATTGGCACTGAAGTCAAATTTCAGTCATTTTTCGGGCATTTTGTCTACCTATAACTCTCAAGTTGCAGTTTGCCTGTTTGAGGGTATTTGTGAGCTTCCCTGTTTTATGATCTTATAATGTAATGGATGGAGTTTTGGAACTACAGGGAGGTAAACATTCTCCCCCTTGTCCTTGAGAGTGAAGCCTTGACCCTGAGCAGGTAGGTAGGCAGGGGCACAGGCTGGCAGGCTGGTATGGGCAGGAAAGATTCACAAAAACCAGTGCTAGACTCAGCTGGATGAGTGGAAACCTGAATCCTTTCAATTAGCATCAAAGAGGCTTTGCAGCCACACTTTGAGATGTGGCAAGGAAAAGACATCAGGGCTTCTCATGTCTGTGTCTAAAGATCCAGAAGCACCAGAGGCACCTGTGGCCCAGTAGATGGTATAAAAAGGAGCCCAGCCTCATATTGCCCTAATGCCTTTTCCAGAATATACAACAAATGTTCTGGAAAGTTCATAGGCTCCTGGTCTCCCAATGCACTCCCACAGTGGGGAGAAGCCAGGCACCTGCTTGGACAGCCATGTGCAAACTCTGGGTCTGCTCTGCCAAAGTAAACATCCCTGCCTAGCCCCTGCCCCAGAATTTAGGCTCAGCAGGGCCTCTGTCTTCCCACTTAGAGGCCTGCTGACCAGATGTGGGCTTGGGTGATGGCCGGAGGGTCCAGGGGGCCCATTAATCTGTAATTAGGACTATACATGCCCCCACCTGCCCCTCCTGCTTCCTCTTGACAAGTACACAGCTGAAAAGCACTTTTAGAGGAAATGGATCCCTCAGTTGTCTCCAAGATGTGTCACTTTGGAAATCATTGCTCTGGAGTCATTAGCTCTACTCCTGCCTGAGCAGGAGAAGTGTAGGTTTGGTGATAGTTATTCTTACTGTGTATTCTATTGTAAAAAAATCTTGAAACAATAAAACTATAACAAAGAGATACTTAGAGGGCACTACATGAAAGAAAAGCCCAAAGCCACAGGGACTGCCTGCCCCACCCATAAAGCAGGCTCACCCAGCACTGCCTTGATGTCCTGATGTCAGAACTGGGCTGTGGCCCCTGCTCAGCTGAAGCTGCCCCTGAGTCCCTAACAGTATCTAACAGGGACCGAGAAGGCGACAGTAAGACTAAGGATGGCAATACAAGGCAGCACTGTCTAAAGCTGGCTGCGTAGAACTAAGGAAAGGCCCTGGGGTTCAAATGTTAGTGACTCTCACCAAACTCCCTTCACCTCCAAACACTCCTTAGTACTGATTCTACACTGTCCGGGTTTGCCCATCTGCTCTGCCAGGCGACAAAGTCATCCTCCAGTTACGCTGTGCATTGGAAAAACTTTGATGAAACTGCTTCACTTGGTTCCATGCAGGTGC